CCAGAAGAGGAGGCAAGCTCAAGTAGTAAAACCGAATCTACTTCCGAGACTTCTAAGCCGAAGCACATAAGTGAGCTAACTACTAAATACGCTGATCTTAAAAATCTGTTAGCTGCTATTATGAAAGACTTGACTGTCGAACATGTAGATCAATTAGAAAGATCAGGAAAACATACACAGCGCTTACGTGAGCATGTATCCCCGGGCAATACTGAATCCAGAGGTGTACAGCGTCGATATACCGTACGAGGCAATACTGCCAGAAGAACAGGCTAATCATTTAGTTAAGACTGGGTATGTTATTCCGACGCCAAGGGATATTAATCATCCCCCCAGACGTGTGTACGATATCGAGTTTAATCGCTTCGACCGCACGGCATTACACCAACCCGCAGAGGATTTCCACTCTGACGAGGTGACCGACCTTAATAAACCGGTCGACAACTATGCCAATAAAATGGAAGTCGCCCATGCTGCACATCATGCTGATGACGTAGCATACTATGCGAATATTATTGCGATTAAGCAAAATCGCATAGACCTACTACTTTAGGCTCGACGTGGACAAGACCACAGGAACAACCAGAAGTACAAGGGACAGATCAGTCGACTTAGGTCGAACTGAGATGCCAACAGCAAGCAGGTCGAGTTTATAAACAACTATGACCTCGACACGCTAACTCGTACGCTTAATGCATTTATGGTCAAGCTGGAGACGAATGATATCGCGATCTCTGCCTTAATGCAGACATTTGACCCTACAGGGACCAGTTATCTGATCCTGCAGCGACACCAGCATGAGCTAGACACTTGTCGTGACTGGCCAGCTGTGTGTTAGTTGGTTACATCCTTATTAAGCAAGGTCATGCGAAGTCCAGGACTGAGTTCAATCTTAACTGAACCAGTCGAGAATACTCCTATTAAGAGTTTTACTCTGATACTTGATGCTGACCTTAAACGTCCAGATATAACAAAAGACAAGGCACAGCGATGGTACGAATTCCTGGTTATGCACGTGTTCTGTAATAACATAGAAAATAACGACCGTGAGAGTCTGTACACCGAGTTGCGACGTAAACACGCGACTGAGGCTCGAGACAAGGGACATGAAACAAAGTTTTATCTATCCCGACTGACATGGGAACAGTTTTATGATACTATATCAACTCTTTTGAAGGGAAAAGCAGCTGTTAAGAATCCGCAGGAGCTCACCGATCACGGATACGTATCCAGTCGTACCTCAAACGAGAGACCCCAACATACACGTGCTCTTTAACCACGCGACCCGATAAACGGGCACGCGCAGGAGCGAAGGACATGGAACCTCTATTCAAGGAGATTAAGAAATGTGCCGACGCCCAGTGCGGGTATGACATGTACCAGTTAACCCATAACCGTTATTGAAATGGTAAACATGCATCCACCTGTACACACTTTCTTACTAAGTGGGCCAAGTGTGAGAAGACCAGTGGCTATCACGCCAAGTCTTGTGAGAAAAGGCCCAACATTAAGTTGGAGTGGAAGTACTACCAGGTACAATCGTTACCAATAAAATACAACGACTCTTTAGACGAGCGTGTAATAATACCTGTATATTGCAATGGAAATAAAATCCTTGTGTTGATTGATCCTGCTTCCGAAATTTCATGGATATCCGATCGCTTTGCATTAATGAAATATATCGAAAGGAGAACACAAACAACTTATCTCATTTTAGCTGATGATAAAGCTGCTACGTGTGATACCATCGCCACAGATGTTAAAATCTCCCAGGCCGATGATAGGAGTATCACTACTCAAGCTGTGATAGTTAAGATGTCACAGAAGTACGACATTATAGTCGGAATGAGTGATTTACTCACTCTAGGTATAACCGTATCTGGTCTACCAACTAACATAGATCCATTAAAGGATCAATCAGACGATAACTGTCTGAATCCATATAAGCCCCCGTCAGACAAAGTCAAGGCATAAATACCTGACTTTGCGGACAAAATCATGGATCTGATTCTTGTTAATAAGAAAACAAAGATCACAGATTGGGCAAAATTCCTCTTTAACGACAGATATGTCAGCCTTGACTTTGGACTTTACACAGTTAAAGTTCCCCTCAAGGAACTATGTATCCTGGAGACACGAGGCTGTTGTAAAATAACAAGTTGAGAAATGGCTAGCAGATGGTGTGATAGATATTAACTATCAACAAACGCCAGTTAACTTGGCACTGCTAGCCGTAGACCAACATAACTCTGACGGACCGTTTAAGAAAGTCAGAGTATGTTTAGATATGAGTCCAATAAATAAAATATTGCCGACTCATAGCTTTCATTTACCTCGTATTAACGAGCTACTGCGAAGGATGGAAGGTGCTACTGCGAAGGATGGAAGGTGCTACTGCGAAGGATGGAAGGTGCTACTGCGAAGGATGGAAGGTGCTACTGCGAAGGATGGAAGGTGCTACTGCGAAGGATGGAAGGTGCTACTGCGAAGGATGGAAGGTGCTACAGTGTTTACAACTATAGACCGTACACAAAGATACCATCAAATGCAGCATACACTAGTTTCTAATAGAGTGACAACGAAACACTAAATAAAATCCCTTCGGCGAAAACAGTACTGATGGATTATATATAGGCAATGTCTCAGCCTCACAATCCCTCAGAGTATTGCTGTTTTCACGAGGCATACCTAACTTTAGACTCATTTTTTGAAATTATCACGATACTTAGATTTTTCTTACGCGTTTAATTACTCTAAGGCGTTAATATCGCCTAGATAGACCGAATCTTACACAGGGTTCTTGAGTTGCAGCCCGGTTTTTGTGGTGTGATCTTCTGTGCACAAACTGTAGCTTATATGGCACTTCCAGAGAGCAAGACGATGACTCAGAACAAGCTATACTATAACGTAAAGGATTGGGTGGGCTCAACTGCATTTTGGGATAAGACTACGAATGTATTTAGGATTCTCTCACCCTTGCTGATACTCCACCGCCTATCCAACTCATATAAGCCAACTGCGTCTACAATCACTGAGTCAATGCGTCGGTGCGAAAATAATTGGAAGGCACTAATAATAGAAACTAGGAACCCTAATAACTTAGCAGAGCTGGTACTTACATCTCTGAACGCAGAGAAGGAGGTAATTGTAATTTCATCAGAGACGACACTTTTTACCAGGCAGCTGGTGCCTTAGATCCCGCTTTTATTGACGATAACCCTTACCAAGATCCCGATGTTCATAAGTCTTTGCACAAAGTAATGAAACGTGTGATTATATCTGGTCCAAAGATAATGACTAAGAACTTATTGAAGTACTGCGATCGACACAGACGACGACGAAGACATTGATGCTTCCAATTTTGATAACGACGAGGAGACACTCAAACGCGTAGAAGAATCACTGGATAAGTACTCAGGCGATGACGAGACTCAGAGGCAGAGGAGCAACCTATGAACAAAGACTCGGACGAAGAGGAACAAGCTATAAACAAAGAATCAAACGATGACGAACCAGCTATGCACACGGACTCAGAGGCAGAGGAACAACCTATGAACAAAGACTCACACGAAGAGGAACCATCTATGGACAAAGACTCCGAGACAAATAAGGACTCAGAAAAAAAAGAACAAACTAAGGATAAGGACTCAGACGAGGAATATTGTTCACCCTCATCCACACCCACTACCAACGCTCTAAGTGTCACTAACAAGGCTCCAAGTACCACTACCAAAGCTCCAAGTACCACTACCACAGCCCCAAGTACCACTACCAAAGCTCCAAGTACCACTACCCAAGCTCCAAGTACCACTACCAAAGCCCCAAGTACCACTACCAAAGCTCCAAGTACCACTACCAAACCCCCAAATAGCACTACCAAAGCCCCAAGTACCAAAGCTCCAAGTCGTAGATCTAGGCCTGGTGTAGGTGCAATGAACGGACGTACTCGAACCTTACCTCAGACCCTTCAACCTGATACTCGGCCCTACAACCAGATTATACGGCCTCAATCTGACAATACTCGGCCCTACAACCAGAATAGACGGCTTCAATCTGACAATACTCGGCCTCAATCTCATGGTTTACAATACGTACAATCTTTGCCTCCACAATATGGTGGTATCCGTCATTAACACGGCAAGATGAAGCACAGCACGGTCGTCCTCAGTAGATGAGTTGTTCGTATTTACTAGTTTGCTTACATAAAGCTGCTGTACATAATTCTTAAGTCACATTAAATGACATCTCACATGTACACAAATATATTTCAATTGATGGCATCTCAATATAGTATAATATACTGTGTTTATTTTGTTATTCATATTCTTTATTTTGTTGTTTATACTGTTTCAATGGATTAGCATTACAGTGTGCTTGTTTCTTGATACGATAGGGCAGCTCAAAGTATTTATTAGTTTGCATAAATAAACATGTACACCAATAGTTTATTTCAATCGATGGCATCTCATTCTATGGTATAATATACTGTGTCTATTTTTTTATTCATGTTCTTTATTTTGTGGTTTATACTTTTGCAATTGAATAGCATTACAGTGTGCTTGTTTCTCGATACAATAGGGCAGTTCGAAGTATTTATTAGTTTGCATAAATAAACATGTACACAAATAGTATATTTCAATCGATGGCAGCTCAGAATTATGGAATAATATACTGTCTATTATGTTATTCATATTCTTTATTTTGTTGTTGATACTGTTGCAATAGAATAGTATGACAGTGTGCTTGTTTCTCCATTGATCCTTGCACATGCTTTCAGTGTACAGCGGCGAAGATCTTCGCATAAAGCGATATGTAACGCAAGGAAATAGACTCCGAATCTCACTATCTTTTGTCGGTCGTATAATGCAGAACAGGGTTTGTTTACATGATATAACTTCCCAGAACTGGTATACCAGACTTTAGTTTCTAATTCTTCGGTACTTGGCATTGAAGACGTTTCTTTCAGTTTTATTACTTCATTCTTAAGGAAATTTACTTGAATAGAAAGCTCATATACTAGGCTACCCACCTGGTGGGGATTCTCATGGGGTCCACATATAGATCTACAGTTGCATATAACTGTACTGCAATCTTCTTGATCACAAGTATTTATGTCTTGCATCGTTGTGACCCGTTGGCCGCACAAGGAACAGTCAAGCATGATGGTCACTATTCAGTATTCACCACTGATGGGTAGTGGGGACCAGATACGACTAAGTCTAAAAGTCTAAAACTGAAATCATTCTATTTTATATATAAAACAGTCAACAATAACAGGTCACATGTAATAAACAATTTTCATTATGTTCATTGTTCCTGAAATCCATGTGTCAGATTTTGAGATTTGAGATTTAATAGATTATGACCGCCAGATGTACTAGTCGCCAACCGTCCAACCGCGCATGTACATATAAATATCTCATAAACAGTGCTGAGTATAATACCAAGTCTAAAACCTATACGACATCAAAACTTTCCGACGTGTCCGACATGTTTTTTACCCCCCATATTTTCTGACATTTTTTGTCTGAAACCAGATCAGCCCATGACCATGTACAGAGGGACTATCATATTTCTAAAAACAGTTTCCAACTATTTTGGTATTTAATATTTAAGACCTCAAAATTGACAAGTCACAGGGTCAGTCACAAATTGTAGCAAACAACTCACAAGATTCAATTCATGTTGGCGTGGTCCACGCCCCACGTCTTGATCGTTATTTAGCTTTCCTGTGGCGTACATTTTAAATAGAAAATTTTGCGAGGAAAGGTTTGTATCTAACTCGACGTTAGTTTGGGGCGAGGGGTGCTCTGTGCTGTTTTGTTTTCAGTCTCCTGGCTTGTATGTCTCCATGCTATGCTGGCTATGCTGTATATCTCCATGCTACGAAAATGAAGAGGTTGACCGGTTTTCTTGTATAATCAGCTCTGTCTCTGTTGCGATTCGACATCGTTTCCTTCGAGTACGATATGTTCATGCCACAAACTCCAAAGAAATATAATTAATTGATCACAGAACACAGAGTTGGACATGTATTGGCAATCTGCATGTCAGTTCTCTCTAGAGTGGGGTGTGCGTTCCTACTGAATACTTACCTGCACTTGCTTATGTCTTCCAAACGAATTCTTTTTTCAGACTAAATACCACAGAGGCCACTTAGCAAAGACGTATATAGTTTAAAATTTAACCTCAGATCCCCCTCGCTCTTTCCTGCTTTAGTTACCCGAGTTATGGTTGTCTAGTGCCTATTGCGCTTTAAACGCCGTCGACTGTTCTTTAGCTGGTCAATAATAGAGTAAGTGTTAGAATCACAATTTTCTATTAGCATACAATTCTTCTATTATATCAACTTGCTAACAATGTGCCCTCTTCAACTTTAGAATCCTGTACACGGGGCCGTTATTCTTTTGTATAAAAGTGCATTGTTCCTCATCTGAATTGTATTATGAGAGAAAAAGTATATATTATACAACTGAAAATTGACAGATAACTACTATAATTTTTTTAATATCAAGTCTCTATAAATACGGCTCACTCGTGCCCCTGATTGAACTACATGGGTCGCTGTGATAGCACTCGACGACTCGTGTTGTATTTTAGATTTTAAAAATCATTTTCAGTAACACCTGCAGACATAATGGTTGTGGTTGATACACCACCCATTACAGTTTGCAATTGCTGATCCACGAGCATAGCTCCTGACCACTGCTGATGCGTAAGAGTCTCAACCTTGTTTTCTCTCTCTTGTCTCTGAATACCCTGTACGTATCCAATCATTCCTTGCTCAGAGTATGCTTTTGCAAAGTTATCTGCGGCGAGTGCATTCAGATGGAAACCGGCGAGGGTTATGAACTGCCAGCAGATTCCGAGCTTGCCAAGTTCCTTGATGAGTGATCTGTAAATTGTTGCAGAATGGAAAATTAAAATGTGGCAACTAACAAAAAAATTGATTTGAAGATACAATGAACCATAAAGCGCAGCTATTTCATTGCGCACCCAAGTTCAAAAATTCTCAACAAAAAAAAGTGGGGGAAAAAAGCAGTAAAAGGTTTCAAACCACATAACTTGAAATAAAAACAGTAAAGATATCTGGGTGTGAACTGACAATTTTTACGACTTACCCAATCTCGGCGTCCGACATGCCAGCTGCGTCCCAGTTGAATGATGGTGATAGATTGTATGTCAAACACTTCTTGGGGTGAACAGACAATACACCCTCAGCCCAGTACTTCGCCTGCTTGTAGTCCGGGCGAGCGGACTCCATCCAGCAGATGTCAGCGTATTCGCCGAAATATTGTGATCTGTATGTGGCGTACTCTGTGCCGCCGTCAACGCGGTAGAAACCTTCAGCAGTACGGGGTGCATCCCAGTCGAAGAAGATATCCTCGCCTAGGAGGTTGGTAGCCCTGCTTCGAGCGTCCTTAATAGATAGACCTTTAGACTCCTTCAACCAAGCACCAGCATCCTCGGCCTGCCCCTTGGCTACCAAGTGATCGTGCACGGCCTGCCCGTAGGTCTTAATACCGGCATCCTTGTTCCACTGATCAGTGAATGCAGAAATCTCGGCAGCGGATTTACCAGAAAGCTTCATGCCGTTGACCTCCTCGTTCAACGTTCCCACAGCTGAATTAGTGGCTCCAAGAATGAAACAGTGGTCTCGCTTATCAATATTCGAGGTCAACAGAGTTGCCGCCTCAGAATCAGTACGTCCAACAACAATACACTGCACACCCATAATATCGAATTGCAGACGAGCAGCAATCAAGCGGTTCTGGTGCTCTTGGATGGGAACCAATACTTTGCCACCCATATGTCCACATTTCTTTGTTCCGGCAGCCTGATCCTCTAGATGGATACCAGCGGCACCGTACTCAACAAACATCTTTGCCAGCTTCATGACAGCCGTGAACCCACCATGTCCAGTATCAGCGTCAGCGATAATAGGACGCAAGTAGTCAACATAAGGAGTGGCGATTCTCTCCTCCTTGGTCATTTTAGCACGGGCGGCACGCTGCTTGCGATCGTGGAAAAGCTGAGCTTTAAATAGATGATCCACCTTCTTGGGAACAGTGTCCATAGGGTAATCGGCCAAATCGGGTCCAGGCTCATTGCTAGATGAGGCCGTAGAGGAACATTGCCAACCAGATACATACACAGTGTCGAGGTACTTCGCCATCTGTACAACCTGAACTGGGTCTAGGGCTCCAAAAGTCCATGAGGTCTCACCTTTAGATCTATTGTCCTGGAGAATACCCCACATTTTTTTTGCTTGCTTATCAGCGAGATACTCACCTGTCACGGTGCCTCGTAGATTTACGACATGCTCGGCACTGTAAGGACGCTTGATCGAGCTGAAACGTTCCTGCTTCATCCAAGAATCCACCTCTGCAACCTCCTTTTGGAAAGCTGCAAGCTCGGCATCTACGAAGGCTTCGGTGTTGGGTGTTTGTTGTACCATCTTTTCCGTTGTCATAATTACAGGAATATAACTATGTGTAAATATGTGCCTATCGTAAGCAGAATTTTCTCATTTATATATGTGGTGGTGTATCATATCTATCAGATGTCAAACCAATTTTTTCTTTTCACAATGACACCAGTTTTGATTCGCCACTAGCAGCTCGGAGGCGGAGTCGAGCCTGTCGAGGCCGACAACCTGTAACTTATGTGGATCTTGGTACATATGCTGTATACAAGAATAAACTGAGCATCAATATGAAAACCTGTATTATTTTTGGGGTCTAAAAACTAGCCTTTTGAATTATAAATACACATAAAAAACTCCGTCTAGAATAAATTTTCATATTAAAGTTCGGTACGTTAATGGAGTCATCTGTATATAGAGTTTCTGACATCATGCGTTTTCCACGGAGAGCCTTCGATTTGATTTTATAATATTCTTGAACACTTTCGTGTCATTTTAGATGGTTAGTCAAGTGTTTCCATTGGCCAATACATAGGAAGGCTATGCTGGTCGCTGACACAAGAAGTGACAACTTGAAATAAATAGAGTAGATTATCCCTATGACTTGTCACTTTCGATATCAAAAGCTAAAATAGGACAGTTGACGACACCGTACGAACGTTACATTCATTACAATCACTCTGTTATTCAGAACCCCCCAGCAACATAACCTCCTCGAGAGGCAAGACTCTCTCTCTCTAGTAGAGAGTAGAGAGAGAAAGAGTGTGTATTTATGAAACTCCAATGATGGAGGAAATCTAAATATGTACAGTTGTACACGGTATGAATAATTTTTTTTACATAAACCTATATATGTGAGTGTCTCTCTCTCTATATGTATACGTCTCGGTCTCGGTCTCGAACATCTCTCTCTTAATACAATAACGAGCGAAACCTTCGGGAAACGAATTTGATTTTGTGGAATCCCAAACGGTATGAATTAGTTTGTACATTGCAGTGTATATATGTGTGTGTCTGTCTCTGCCTATGTATCTGCATCTGTCTCGGTCTCTGTCTATGGTTGTGTTTGTCTGTATTTGTGCGCCTGTCTCGGTCACTGTGCCTATGTCTATTTTCATGTATTTGTCTCTATGTCTATGCCTGTGTTTCTGTGCGTTTTTCTGTCTGTCTCTGCTCCTTTGTCTGTGTATGCGCCTATGCATGCGCCTGTGCGTGCATGTGCATGCAACGACAGAATATGATAGGTTTTCGAACCGTCCGAAACGTTTAAATAGTAGCTCAACTACTTTCAATCAGTCGTAAACGATTGCCAGGTCAGATAAAAGTCAAAATCTCCAGTACTCCCGTCGACTCCCACAAGCGTGTGCTTGTATGTGTGTACGTGTGTATATCTTTTTGTTGCGCTTGTTATATATATATATATATATGTATATATACCCTCGTGTGTGTGTACACAAAAATGGTTGTGTCACTTTCCGTGTCGTGTCATTTATATGTATGTTTTTGTTCTCGTGTTTGTGTGTGTGCACCTGCTTACGTATGTGTGGTGTTTCTGGGCTTCCGTGTCTCTGTTTGTGTACACGTATTTTTTGCGTGTCTATATCTGTCTGTCTGCGTGTGTGTCTGTATGTTTGTCTACGTATGTGTTTGCATATGTACATATACAAGTCGTATGTGTGTCTGTGTTTGTATTTATGTATATACGTGTGTGTATGTATATATATATATATGTTTGTGAGTTTGTGTTTGTGTTTGTGCTTTTGTATATATATCTCTATTTGTTTATGGTGCTTAGTATATAATTATATGTCTGTGCTTGTGCCTCTGTGTGCATATATATATGTCTGTGTATATTTGTGCTTTTGTGTGTTTACATATGTATATACATGTCTGTGTTTGTGCCTTCGTGTGCATATATATATAAATATGCCTGTGTTATATCTGATATATATATCTGTGTGTTTGTGGTTTTGATTTTGTATATATATATTTATACATATATATCTGTGTGTATTTGTGCTTTTGTGTGTTTACATATGTATCTGTGTGTTTGTACACATTTGTATGGTGAGGGTCTTGTAGATCCGTTCACGGGTCTGTTTCTGTGTCTTTATCTGTGACACCTGTGTGTGTATGTTTGTCTGTTTCCATCTCGTGGTTTTTCCTGTGTTTGTTTGTCTGTATATACATGTGTGTGTAGATACGTTCAAGCGTTTGTTCCCATGTCATTTTCTGCGATACGTTTGTGTCGATCTGCTTGTGTATACTCGTGTGAATCGTTGTCTTTTTCCTTCTCATTTTTCGTGTCGTGCTTGTGTGCATACATGAGAGAGAGAGGGAATGATCGGGTGTACGTGCGTGTGTTGTTGTTGAGTTTTATGTTCTGTTCTTACATATGTGGTTAATTTGTGTGTGTTTGTACGAATATATATATATATACGGTTGAGTGTGAGTATTTATATGTGCGTGGTTTTAGTATGTGGGTGATGGTATGTATGTGTATGTGCGGGGGGGTTTTTTTGTGCGTACTTGTACTCTATGTATATTTGTGTGTGCGTGTACTTGTCTGATTGTGAGTTAATTCCAAGTTGTTAGTTGTAACCGTTTCGATAGCTCAAAGAACATGACTTTGTAACGGCAAGTCTATAATTTTCATATATTTCAACGATCGCAAAGTAACCGTTTTGGGTACTTGACTCGTCGAGGTTATGATGGACCAGTAATCTGCTATTAGGAATCTGTGGTTGAGTCAATAAATCTCGCTTTGTTTCGCTGTTCGTAGTGATCACGGTTTTTTTCTTGTTAATACAACACATGACAGGTTTGAAATTTATCAGTGATCTTCTAAAATATAACTACCACGAGTAGCTTTAGTCTGTACATATCGTACGATAAAGCGGATGATAGAATGGTAACAACTTCAGTTCTGAATCAATTCTAATGGCTTGTTGTTCTATATGGTGGTATGTATGTATGTTAGGCATATATATGTAAGAGGACAGGATCATCAAATAAACACGCAAAATATATCAGTTACCATTGCATATTCCGTGGCATGTTGGAGTTTTGCAATAAAGTCTCGCCTGGGACGCCGTGGGGGCTGAAAGCGTAGTTATCCTGCAATGGTTTTATTTTTTTGTTTTAAACTGAAAGCGTACAGTTATCCGGTAATGTTTTTTTTGGTTTTAAACTGAAAGCGTACAGTTATCCGGTAATGTTTTTTTTGGTTTTAAACTGAAAGTGTTAGCTTGTTAGAATCCCTCATCACATTGTCAGCGATTTTTGTACATTCAAGGCGCGAAATCTGTCTGTGACGCTTTTTGCCTATGTGTAGACACCCCCACTGGAATCCAGCAGTATGGGATACTTTGTAGAATAGAAACAATCCCCTTTTCCTGTAAGTGAGCGTGTGTGTTAGTGTGTGCGAGCGAGCTAGTATAGACATATGTGCGTGCGTGTGTATATGAGTGTGAACATGTGAGTGAGTGAGTTAGTATGGATAGATGTGCGTGTGTGAGTGTATGCGAGAGTGAATGAGTGAGTTAGTATAGACATATGTGCGTACGTGTGTGTATTTGAGTATGAACATGTGAGTGAGTTAGTATAGACATATGTGCGTACGTGTGTGTATTTGAGTATGAACATGTGAGTGGGTGAGTTAGTAGATTTGTATGTGTGTGTGTGTGTGAATACGAGTGTGTGTGTGTTGAGTGAATGTGTATGAAAGAGATTATGCGTGTATATGTGTGTTGAGTGAATGTGTGTGTGTGAATACGAGTGTGTGTTGAGTGAATGTGTATGAAAGAGATTATGCGTGTATATGTGTGTTCTGTAAGAGTTTGTGTGTGAGTGAGTGGAGTGAATATGTGTGAAAGAGGTTGTGCGTGTATGTGTGTGTTCTATAAGAGTTTGTGAGTGCACGCGTGTGTGAAAGAGGTTGTGCGTGTGTGTGTTCTATAAGAGTTTGTGGGAGGGTGGGTGAGGTGCCGTATAGTGTGCATGTGCTGGTGTTAGGGCGTGTACCACAATTGAGTACACAACAACAACACACAAATATAGAAGGTTTCTTTTTCCATATGTATGTACTTATTGTAGATATAAAATATTGCAGAACAGTGTCCGCGAAAAGAATATAGAGCACCAGATACTCTCATCAGCAGAAGCCCAACTCTTAACCACTCCGCCCGCAAATGTGTATGGGTAAGTGAATTGGTATGTGTGTGGGTACGGGTATACCAATAGATATTTACGTGTATTCCTGCGTGAAGAGGCATTCGAATGTGTATGTCCATATGCATCTATATGTGAATAGGCATCTGTAGGAGTATGACAATAGATATGTGTAGGGGTATGTGTATGTGTATATTTTTTTTTAAACGTGTATGTTCAATTGTGTTTGTGAATGGGCACAAGTATGCATATGTATGTGTAGGTGGAAAAGAATGTCTATGTATCAGGTATCAATATGAGAATGTCAATAGGTTTGTGTACGGGTATGTGAATAGTCATCTGTATGTTCATATGGATAAGTATGTGTACGAGTATGTGTGTGATCAGGCACCTGTATAAGTACGTGGATATGTAAATATGTGTGACAGTGCAAGCTATCGTCAATAAATCGGGTTATTTTCAAGATATATATATTAGTGTATTTAAAGTGTTTACTGTATTCGGGAAGCTTTGCATACTTTGTTATAAAGAGGGTAGACGTGTATCTGATCGAGCTGTTCAATGGGGATCTCATGCAGACGAAGCGAGATTGCATGAAATATGCATATGGACCGGACGGTTGCCTCATTTTCTTGTACTACATTTTAGATATATACATATATACACGAGATCAATGAACATATCCATCATGAAAAAATTGAATCACAAATAGATATATATATACGTAGAATTGATTCTATGTATATTTTATACGAGACCAATGAATATCGATTTTCATCATAAAATGATTCTATAGATATTAATTATACACTGTCTGTCCCAGCCGTGATTTAGTAGAAAATGGATAAACCAGTTACAAAAAAATGAAGGAGCCCCCATACACACACCTATTCACAAACACATCCATTCACATACATATATATATCCCTATTCACACAATATATTTATATATATGCATAACTGCACAT